AGTAGTGGACTATACGCTTACACTTGTATGCCTGTGCTTTAATTATTTATATTTATAACTGTTAAAAAAAGGCAGTGACATAGCGTAATGCTGTCTAAGGGGGTGTTTGGTTACATTGTTTTTGAGAAATATTTTCTCAAAAGTACTGACGCATGGCATTTATGTAATTAAGAGTTTTCTATACATTTCTATAAACTATGTTTGGCTCCAAAAAAAATTACAGAAATGTTTTCTGTAAAGTGCCCAAAAGTACCAAATTTTATGGAAATTAATTTCCTTCTAAAATGGGAGGAAATCTCTTGGAAATCTGACGCATTCATTATTTAAATAATAAAACTCATTAACTCTTTTCTACAAAGTTCTCACTTTTCTATAAAGTTGGTGGTGTTTGGTTACATTTCTATAAATTATAGGAAATGTTGCTATTTTCCCAAAAGTTATTTCTCATTTTCTTGTTTTGAACCAAACAAGCACAATACAAAAAATAAGAAAATTTGTACTTTTTAACTTCTCAAAACTTTTCCTATAATTTTTTTAAGAAATACAAGGAAATCAAATTTGGGATGGAAAACATTTCCTATAATTTATAGAAATGTAACCAAACACCCCCTAAAAGAAGAATATGAGCCGTCCTCTATCTTTGAATGGGATATATAGATAACTTCATTCTATAGTGATATTATGATAGAGTCTCTAGTCCTGTACAAAATAAAAAGTACTTGCATTTTTTTTTTCAATATTGTGATACGTCTTTCTCTTCACACACACAAAAGAAACTAAAAAAATAAAAATAAAAAGAAGGGGGAAAAAAGAAAAGGAGAGAAGCATGTGTGTGCCTAGGGGTGAGCATCGGTCGGTTCGGTTCGGTTTTTACCAAAATTTGAACAACCGAACCGAACCGCCTATAATTCAAAACCGAACCGAACCGTTGTAAGTCGGTTCGGTGCGGTTCGGTTTGTTCGGTTCTAACTTCATCAAATATATGATGTATACAGCTTGGACCAATGTAATTTAGAGGTGCAAACATATGTTTGAATCATTTTAGATGATAACAAACAGATCAAGTTTCAATCACTCACAAGTCTAAGCGCATACTAAATTGCAATTACTGGAGTTTCAATCAACACAAAGTCTAAACGGATCAAGTTTCAGACAAGTTAGTGCTTAATATTTCAGATCAAGTTGTAATTACTGGAGTTTCAATCAACACAAAGTCTGAACGGATTGAAGTCACTGAAGACTGAAGTACTGAACCAATCATCCGTACTAGGTCTCATTGAAATAGCATCCAAATAAACAAATCAAGTTTCAATCAACACAAAGCATCAAGTTTTCTTTTGAAATGTTACTGGACTACTAGAAACAACATCAGAATAATTTGACATTCATTGAATTAATAAGCAGTCGTCATCCTCATCTTCGCCCTGCAATATACAAAAAAAAAAGCAAATTAATGAGAGCTCGTGTTGCTGTTCAAGGCAACATATCATTTCCAGTCTAAAAACAAACATCAGCTTACCCAAATATAAACAATTATTACCTGTGTTCTTCCATGAAAGCTCTTACAAATCAGTGATTGTCGGTTCAATTGAAGATGATAATGAGTGATGAGTGGCTTCTATAAGAAGTAAGAACAGTATGAAAATCATTACAAATAACAAAGTTAAGGAATAGTTGCATGATGCATATGTTTAGCTAAGTCCTAATCCATCCAACCCTGCAAGTTGGAGGAACTAGGAAGGCTGCAGTTAGGATGTCAATATCCAATGACTGACTATTCATCTAAAAAGTCGACATCTAACTCCACCATTGTAAGTCCTAATCCTTTGTAAATAAAACATGATGCATTATAAGCACACATATTAGATTTCATGGTATCAATTTAGACCAAAATTCATGAAAGAAACCATGTTACGAAAAGAGAAAGCAAAAGATGAAAGGCTCAACATGTGGACGTTCCAACAATGTTCATTAACTGATCTAAATGAGTATCGAACTGACAGAACAAAATCAGATGAACATAATCAGATGAACAGTTGTATTATTAGCAAGGATTATATAGATAATTTAAAGGTTTCTCAACTAGTAATGAATTAATTGCTGGACACGACTAAACCGGCCATTCCTCTATAGATTTTGATCAAACTCAAGAACCTGACACCAGATACAGGCAAACAAACCGATCTTAGCCATAAGACTCCTAACTTAATGTATATACTGTCTTAAACAACATTTTATATGGCAAAATTCATACTAATTTCCTCATGCAGTTACAAGTATAGTTCCCTGTTTTTCATAATACAAATTATCAGAAATAAGATACTCTTTAACTATAACAACGAAGCTAGTGATTAAATTCATCACCTTTTTAAATAAATAAATAATAAATCTAGCATTTATTTAGTGACATATGTTATATCATACTTCTCATTTCTGCAAGAGTTAACTAGCAACTGACAGATGAATTTTAATTTTAGCTCCTACAAAACAAAGAAGCAAGATAAACATATTCATCAACCTGCAGGTGCTTTCCAACTTTGACCTTCACACCCCTGTCTCTTAGAAGAATCCTGAAGACACAACACAAGAAAAATTATTAACATATCAGAACAAAACCCAATTCAAATTAATGTCACAGGATAAATGAAAAAGACCCATAATCCCAAAATCTCCAATCTACACAGTGAAAAAAAAACATAACAAAAGCCTGTCACACAAACCCTCTAAAATCAACTAACTACGCCGAAACAGAAGTAAACCATAAACTACACATTACCGGGTGTGAGTTTGGAGGGCGTTGACGGAGGGCGGTAGGGCTGGACTCTAGAGCGGCGGCGGCGGCTGGATCGCAGCGGTGACCGGAGGGCGTTGACGGAGGGCGGTAGGGCTAGACTCTGGAGCGGCGACGGCTGGATCTGAGGGAGACGGAGGGCGTTGACGGAGGGCGGTAGGGCTAGACTCTGGAGCGGCGACGGCTGGATCTGAGGTTGGAATGGAGAAGATTTGGAGAGCTAGGTTAGATTTTGGGATTTTATCATGAGGGAACACGGGTCGGGTTCGAGACTTGAGTCGTTCGACGGATTATTAAATGGGTAGGGGTAATGGGCGGTCGGTTCGGGCAGTTCGGGTTGAAAAAATTTCAACCCGACCCGAACCGGCTGAGAGTTAAAACCGAACCGAACCGTTGATTTTTGGTCGGTTCGGTCGGTTTTTTCGGTTTGGACCGAACCATGCACACCCCTATGTGTGCCCGCGAAATTTACATGAGATATCAAAAAATGCTTTGAGGTTGTACTTACATGCAATCTAGTCCTTTGGGCAATTTTTTTTTTAAAAGCATGTCCTCTTTAATAGATTAAAAAAAGTGAAAAAAAACCCAGCATAAATTTATCAATAAAAATTGACAATTAATTCCCCAACGGTCTAGGGCTGTTTGGTTGTTGTTGGTAAAATTATGTATTTATGACACAACTTGAAAAGTTGTTGTTCACCTCATCAATTTCACTTTTATATTTTTCTTTGTTTGTTTTTTATTCCATTGGAATCATAAATTGCTTGTTTGGTTTGTAAATGTAACTTTAATTGTTTGTTTGGAAAATATAAAAAGCGATCCCTACTCAAATGATCATATTAGTTGTAATTATTTTTTATTATTTTTTCTTCTGACTTCAATGTCAGCTTTCTACTAAAATCATGTCTTTTTTTTATGAAATCACTTTACAAGCCACATCTGCATATGAAATCACTTTACACTATTTTCACAACTACAAACAAACAAACAATTTAAAGTGATGAAAGCTGACATTGGGACCCACTTTTTTATACTTTCCATCCTTTTACATGGTAAAAACATACAACCAAATAGTCCCTAACTATTGTTCCTTACTGTTCCCGAGTTCCGAAAATTATAATTTGATAAATTATTTCTCGTTAACTTTTCTTTGACGACAATGTTCTTAAAAAAATAATAAATGTTGCATATGTGCATTTTGATTTGAGGTATCAAATTGTCTAATTATAATTTAATGATATCAAACTCCAAAAAGGGTGAATCTTCAGGTCATTAAAGTTGCAAATAAGTCTACTTTTTATTTGCGAACTACCCAAATAACAATCTATATTCATTTGCCTACACAACTAATTTTGTGCTGGTATAAGTAAATCAAAAAAATCTCTTGACTGTCAGTTATATACCCTATTGTTTCCTCTATTTTCCACTTGTATACCATCACATGTATTTGATAGTAAGAAAACGCCCTAAAGTTTCTAAAACTCATACTTATGTACCCTCAATATTTTTGATAGCACTAATGTACCCCAAAGCTATTAAAAGTTACACTTAAATACCCTAAAATGTTTAAATTTGACACCTAACCCCAAAGCTTTTAAAACTAGCATTTAAATACCCTCAAGCTTGCATAACCGAGTGTATTTATGTGTAAGTTTTAGAAACTTTAAGGTATTTAAGTACTAATTGTAAAAGCTTTAGGGTATTTAAGTGCAACCGAAATAAGTGAGTGAGGGTATACACATGCAAGTTAAAAAAATTAGGATATTTTTTAACTACCAAATCAGTTGAAACAATAGGGTATACAAGTGATAATTAGCCTTAAGCTAGTTAAAAAGGACCATCCCCCACCTTAATCATCAAAATTAGCGACCAACAAACTGTCAAACACTCCCAAAATAAAAAAATAAAAAATAAAAAAATAAAAAAATTATCGCCCTTAAACACCTTCCACATTTTAATTCCCACTCTCAATAACTCCACTCTTTCTCCTCTCATTTTTCTATGCCGCCGTCCTCCTCTACTCTTCTCCCATGGACCCGAACCCCATAAATCGTTTTGCCCCGGTACCGTCACCGCCACCAAACCCTAGGGCCGGATCGGCCACCGCCGGCCCACTCGGAGACTCTCTTCCGCCTCCCCGATGACCTCCTCTTCGACTCGACCCCGCACTTCAACATCTCCGACATCGAGTTCCCTTCACTCTCCGATGACGTGTCCTCCGGTGGGCCAACCGCTGCCGCAACCGACACCGCCAGATCGAACCAGAAGCCGGGACGCCGCGGCGCCTGCGGCGGCGGGGCCCACCACGGAGGAGCCTGTCGGTGGACGCGGCGTTCTTTGAGAATCTAGGGTTTGGGTCTGGCGGTGGCTGGTGGGGGCACGGCACAGAGGAGTGGGTCGATGGATGAAGGGGATTCGTCGACGGCGACGTCGTCGGATTACGCGAAGAAGGCGATGGCGGCGGAGAAGCTGGCGGAGCTCTCGTTGATTGATCCTAAGAGAGCTAAAAGGTGCCGTCTTTTTGAGCTTTTGATGGTTAATTTTGTGTTTTATTTGGAAATTTGGGGTTCTGGATTAGGATAGTGATCTTTTCTACCTAATTTGTTCGTGAATCTAGTTCAAATTCTAAGTAGGGATTTCCTTTGGGCCCTTTTTGCTCATTTTTTCCTGAGTTTGATGGGAGTTTTACTGAGTCTTTGATTAGCTGTATTTCTTCTATGAGTTGTTTCAATTTAGGCCTTTAGTTCCATCAATAAAGTTATGATCTTTTTCTACTGTCTATTGTGTAAATGGTATAAGAACATAATGGTGAAGTTCTTTTCTTATAGTTCTTGAAGCTTAAGTTGTCAAGAGAGCATGAGCATAGTGAGGACAGTATTCTAAATTCTAAAAGTCTAATTTCAGCTCCTAAGTTTTTTATAAACTTGAGAAAAGATACCAAGTAAATGTAAAAGGAGTTGTTATTATTGAATTGAATGGTGGTGCATTCAATTTATGTTTTTTCTAAGTATTTTTTTTACTTTATTTAGACAGTAACATCGTTGCAATTGAGCTTCATATTTTGTTTTGTTCTGTAGAATTCTTGCAAATAGGCAATCTGCAGCTCGATCAAAGGAGAGAAAGATTCGGTATACCAGCGAACTTGAACGAAAGGTGCAGACTTTGCAGACAGAGGCTACCACTCTCTCGGCACAGCTAACTCTCTTGCAGGTAAAGACCATTTATCTGCTTCATCGCATATTGTTAAATTTTGATTTGTAGTCTTTGACCGATTTTTCTGTTCATTGTTTGTAGCAAGTCTTTTTCATTGGTAAATAAGAACTCAGGTATAATATGGCCTCTATTGAATATTTTTGCTTTGACACTACATCCTTGGTGAACTACTATTTTCCATAACTAGTATATATTCTTATGGGGAATCTCCTTTCATCTCACTGTTCGTGCTATTACGAACAAATTTACCATTGGCCAATTTCATGATTGCGGTGGGTTATGGAGTTCATTAGCTTTGTTTAGACTATCAGGATGAACCCGTAGATGGATGTGTTGTTATGATCCATGCTAGGTTACTTACATTTAAAATCATGACAAGTTGGATACTGATATGCTATTTTTTAGACCTTTAATATCAACACTAAGCTTCAATCCTTTGATTATGCACGAGTAATGTGATAGGAGCACGAAATTGGATATAGGTATAATGTATACCACCCTCCGAGTTGGGATTGGTTTAAACTAATTGCAGAAATATGGAATTCTTAAAATTACAATCAATTCTGTTTTGTTGGACTTTTTGCTTAGAAAGAATGTGTTTTTTTGGGCACTTTCTCTAAGTACGGCTGACTCATTTTGATGCAACACACTTGTCCATCTATATTCCTACATTCAAATCTTTATTCACCTTTGAGGTAAGGTAAAATATCTTATACTCCTTTTAACAAAAGCTAATAGTTTGTTACATCATTTAACATAATTTGGTTACTTCAAGTATGAATAGCAACTCAATACTTTAAATTTTTTATGTCATACACACACATAACTCGCACACGCACGCACGCGCACACACTTCAATACATGTAACCCTGTCATGCTAGGGTTTTGGGTAATTGTTGTCTGACACTTCCGCAGAACAGAATGCTGGAAATATAAGTTCCAGATCATGTTAGTATTTGATTTGTGTGAAGAGTAGTCAAACAGCGAAAAAAGAAAAAAAAGGGAGTATAATTAGGAGAGTCATGTATGAGTCGCTGAATCAACTAGGAGGTATTTTTTGTAGTACTTGAAGTAATATTGGGTCCTAAAATTTTGAGTAAGAGTAGTTATTGCTAATGGAGGTTCTCAATTTATTTTGGAAGTAGGATGGCATTTAGAGGGAAGGTTCAATTGGTTATAGAGTTTTTCCTCTCCTAGTTTCTCTCTTTCAAATATTTTCCATGTTTGAAGGCAAACAAAAACTTGTGGCTGTTCCCTAAATAAATAAATAAATAAAACTTGTGGATGTCTACAGATCAGACATGGTTACTAGTATATACTAACATAAAATGGAGTTTTATTCTTTTGTGACGCTGATTTAGAATTTAAACAAGGCATAATATGATACTTGGGTAATAATCATACAAGGAAACTTTGAGATTCATGAGGTATTCTTTATCTAGTTGATATGGCGAATCAAACTTCTCCATACTTCTGTTCTCTTCCTTTCTGCTTATCGCAGAAATCTAAGCCTTGAATCGTAAAACTGGATTTGGCAATGAAACAGTGGGGAAAAGCTGTTGATGGTTTATAATTATTGTTGTTACAAATCAGTGTGGCACATTTCGTTTTGGTCTGATTCGTCTGAATGTGACACAATTACATTGGCTAATTGTGTTGGCTGATACATGGTTTTCTAGAATAATTATGCTAAAGAAAGTGAGGGAGACTCGGATAAGTTTCAACAGGTAAGCAGGATTTTCACCAGGAAACAAATATTGGAAAGTTGGTGTGATATACGAAATCATGATTTTATAATTTTTAATTCAAGTCAAAACTTTTATTTTGCGTCATTCCTGAATATCATGACAGCAGGCATCCAAACCTGACCCTTCTAAGTTCCTGAATTATATGTTTCTACTCCATTTTGGCCCAATCCTTAGTAGTTCTAATTTTTATTCTTCTTATATTACAGAGGGACACTACCGGTTTGACTAATGAGAATAGGGAACTGAAATTGCGGCTGCAAGCTATGGAGCAACAGGCTCATCTTCGTGATGGTATGTCATAACTGTATGTTGTCACATATGTTAATCTTTAGCTCTGTTTCACTGGATTCTAGAAACTATCTATAAATAACAGTCGGTAGATTACCGACTTTGCTATTGATCAGCATAATGATTTGTCGTATTTATACACTTTGTCATAAGTGCCTATACTTGATTTCATTTGATGGTCTGGAGAAAGCAGGATTCTAAAAACTAACTTAAAATAATGATGAATTGATTTTTCTAATCATATATCTCAGGTATGAAATTCCGATATTAATCTCCTGATCATAATTTACAAGGTGGAAAGTTAACCAGCAAATACCTTTTTATTAGTTTCTTATGCAAGTCATATGCTGACTGCATTCCTTTGTTTTTTTTTAATATGTTCTGAAATATGTCAGATTAGTCAACCTATGAGTAAAGATTATATCACTTAAAAAGACTATTATTTTCTCATCATTCAGATCTACTATGTGAGCTCTTTGATTCTGTCAAAAAAGGTGGTTCGCTATTTCTAAAATATTTTTTTATTTAGAGTTTTTTTTCCTGTGAGGAACCTTCGCTTTGTACTGGCAAGTAAACTCGGGGTCTGGGCCCCTTTCGCAATTCAGACCCAAGTGAATAGCACAAGTGTTGCAATGCGTAGTAATTAGAAACTGGAGATAGATATGTTAGAGACACATATCAACCCTTGGCCTTTTTGTGCCAACGCCCCAAGCCCCAGCCGCTAGACCACTTGCCACTTGCGGGGGGATTTCAAACATTTTATTATCTCTTATCATCTTCAATATATCTAATGACCATATGCTATAACAATTCTTAGGATATGATGTGACTATGCTGAGCTGCAATGGGTGCAAATGGATGGATATGGTCCAATGTAACATTTACCATGTGCATATCCACTCACTAACCACGGATGGAGGAATATGTTTCTGTAAGGAAAATTTGTATCCATATCCAAATCAAATACGGACATGGATCAGAAAAGAAGAAAATAGATGTAGACACATATAGTATGAGATAAACTGATAAAACTCGACATTGCATATGCCGTATCATATATGAGTTACATAAATAAAATAAAATATCGCAAATTATAGGTTAGCCAATGTGTTTATGTGTGTATGCATGTACATACACGCATGCGATCTATAAATCATGAAAACCTGTTTGAGATCCACTAATTTTAGCTGAATTAGTTTCAACAGTCTGCATGTTGTTTAAGCTTGATAGGGGCTATATACAAGCACGCACGCACACAAACACACGAACGCATGCGCATGTATGAATTTACTATATTTTCCCATCTTCCTCTGGCTTTTATTCAACCATATACAATATACATGATATTGGTTTGCTCCTGTTTTTTTCTACAGCTCTCAATGATGCACTGCGAGAAGAAGTTCAACGCCTTAAAATAGCAACAGGACAGATTCCTAACATCAATGGAAATGCCTTTAACCGAGGAGGTCTTCAACATTCCCAGTTCTTCTCTCGGCCTCAGCAGCTGCCTAATCCAAATGCTCATCAGTCTCAAACTCCCCCCAACGGCCAATCTTTCAGCAATCTTTCCTTAAACGATTCTATGGACTACATGTGATGGCTTGATCTTTGATCATCTTTATAGATAATATTATCTTCATTTTGAGAGAATATTTCCAAATTGAATACTGCAAAATAGTTGGTTCAGGCATAGCTCAATGTATCTTAGAAAAGGAAGTTATTTGTATACTTACTATTTGATTAATATTTTGTGTTGTATCATCCCAGAATCAAAGTATGACTAAAGGAATAGCAATTAATGTGGCATGTTGGTTAGAAGTTATAGTTTGTACCCTTTGTGACGGTAATTTTCTGTATTAAGGGCTTGGTTGTAACTTTGTAACCTTAAATCACTAATGGCTTTATATATGATCATATCTGTATTAAGTTCATTTTGCAAGCATATTTCCAAATTTAAGTCTGTAAAATAATTTGTTTAAATGAATCTCATGGAAGGAAGTTATTTGTATGATGATTATATTTATTTAATATTTTGTGTTGTATCAACCTCAAGTCAGGGCATGAATAAATGTAGTTGTGAACTCTGAGAAATTTCATCCTTCAGCAGACACACGACGATCCACTTTTTGCTGTGTCCATGGAGCGTATGAATTTCCTGGAATGTAGATAGACTAACTAATAATTATGATGTGCAAGATTCTGGTAGGATTTTTAGTCTATAGCTGCTGTGATTGTAATTTTCATGTGTGTTCGATAGCGGTGACTATATTTTACATTTTGAGCAGAATTATCAACTTAAGAAATACTCATGATTAGCATCAATAGCAACGCTCCATGACATAACAATGCTTCAGTTTTCATAATAGTTACTCAAAGCTGATAGCCATGAATAGCATTGATATTTGATAACCAATTGGACATCTAATTATGAGCATATGAAATCAAATGAAACTTTGACGCTTAACGCTAGGGTTGAGTCTATATTTGGACAGCAAAATCATAAGTTCTAGCCAAATTCGGAAGGGACTTAATTAACCAATATAACCCAGATACTGATGATTGTGAGTAACCAACCTCATTTATTAAACAATTTTAATCGAGAAGCACAGAATATGAGTTAACACATGCAGTGATGCTTGGTTGAAGAGCGCAATAGAGCAGCAAATTATCTCTCAACTAATTTAAGGGCTCAATTTAGCTATATTTTAAGCGGGGACTTCATCAAGAATTTCAAATGCCATCGTCCTTCGTATTTCATTTTAGCACATACGTTTATGCACACGCATCATAACTCATCATGGCCATGGTCATAGACAAACAAATTCTAATTTCATTCTACTACATCTAAAATTTACAATTATAGTAACTAAAATGAACTAATACAGAATAGACTTGTGGTGAAATCTATCCTATTAGACGCACTACCACCACCGTATCGCATTACGGTAAATGATGTATCAACTTATACTCGATATGTCGATGCACATACTACTATACATTGAGTAGAGTTGCTTAATCCGTCCAAATCCTTTAAACCTATCGAATTTTGACTGTTTAGATACCATCTTAGAATATGTTTGAGCCGATTTGGTTGACAAATTTTCAGACCCAACCAACTGAATTGATCGATCTCTTTGCTCTCTAGAATCATGCTCTCCATTAACCAGTAAATTTTTTTTTTGTTTCTTTCTATTTTGGGATTTAAAAAATTTTTTTTTTTTTGCTAAATAATTAGCAAATTCGACCATTTTGTTAATTATTTAGTAAAATCGACTTTGGCTAACAAGTCAAAAAGAGGTCGATTTTAAAAAACAGCCTGCTCGAAACATACGGGACTAGTAGTCATGTATGTTGTAGAACCCCAAACAAAACATACGAGACTACAAAACATATGGGACTAGTAGTCCCGTATGTATTGTTTGTGTTAATATAAAAACCCTCCTCCGGCTCTCTACCTCCCTCTCAAGAGAAAAGTCAGTCCTTTTCCGCTGAAAAAACCAAAGCAAAGATTCTCTCTCCTCGCTCCTCTCTCTAGAACTCATCGCCGATCGTCACCGCCATGGTCGCCGCCTCCACCCGCCTCCATTTATCCCGTGTCTCAAACACCTTAATCCCTAAATCCCCACCCCTTTATCGCCATAAAAATCAAATCTTTTTCCTACCCCTTGCGATCAGTAAACCCCAACATCTCCCAATCCCTCTCCATCGACAATGGAGACAATAACAACAACATTGGCGACGGAGGGTTCGACAAAGGCGGTGGAGGAAGCAGCAGACGTGACAGTGGGACCACGATTTCAAATGGATTGGTGGCAATAAAGCCTTGGATCTCAGGGGCATGCTTCCAGGTGCTGCGTCCTGCCGCCTTGGATCTCGCCGGCGGGGATGTACATGAAGCCCAGCTGATATCCTTAGTAGAGGAGGACAACGGTGGAGTCGTAGTGGGAGAAGGCGGCAACGTTGGGGTTGAGGATGGAGGAGGACTGGACGAAGGTGATGGAGTTAAGGTGGACGGAGGCGATGCTGAGGGTCGGGTCGTAAGGGCGGAAGACGAGGAGGAGGACGAGGTAGGGAGAGAGCCGGGGGAGAGTTTTTATGTTAGCATAAACAATACATACGGGAGTACTAGTTCCGTGTGTTTTGGTTGGGGTTTTAGAACATACGGGACTATTAGTCCTGTATGTTTCAAGCAGACTGTTTTTTAAAATCGACTTTTTTTTGGCCGGTTGGCCAAAAAGAGGTCAATTTTGCTAAATAAATAGCAAAATGATCGATTTGCTAAATAATTAGAAAAATAATCAATTTTGCTAATTAGTTAGTGTTGACTGTCTACAAATTATTGTAGATAACTGATCCCTATCAAACACCAATCAATGAATGAATGCTACAATTAGAAGATTTTCACGTAAATCGAGAAAGTTACAATTCGACGACCTTCATGACAATCGATAAAATCTCTGATTCAATAGTTTTCATAATCAATAGCGAGAGTTACAATCTAACGACTCTCATATTTTAAGGAGCTAAAGCAAAGATTACAAAACGACGATCTTTATAACGCTTTGACAGAAGAGATTACAAGCCAACGATCTCTTCAGTCCAAGATACAGAGCTCATGTCTACATCCCAGAAATGAAATACAAGTGGTCTCATTCCAGGGTCAAAGCAATGCTTCCAATGCAGCCTCTATCCGCTGTCAAACGCAGCTCCTAAATGCTGTAAACACAGCTTTCATCCGCTGCCAAACGCAGCTCCTAAATGCTGCCAACACGGTTTCCATCTGCTGCCCAACGCAACTTCCAAAAGATGCTAACACAGCTTTCAAATGCTGCGTTTAAACGTAGTATTCATGCCAGAACATGAATTCTGCGTTTGACTCGTTCAAACACGAGCTTAATGATTTTAAAATCATTTTCCACGATTCGAGGGGATCACTCCCCCACTTAGGAGAGATTTTCACGTATAATATGCTTGTGTGTCTTGTGGAAGACCTTGTTAGTTTTGTAAAGATGTGGAACAGTGAGTTTTTAGGATGGCTAGTATTCGACTCGGTTACCATATGCAGTTAGCTTTATGTTTATCATGTTTTAGTAGTAGATTGCATGTTAATTTTGTTGGATTTCCAGTTGCGTGTTTCTTTTTCATTTCTGTTGTTGTATCATTTTTCGCATTGGATTTTCATTCGTTCTATTTCTTTTGTGAGGTCTTGTCGTGTACCATGCATGCTGACGTACATCTGTTTTCTCTAGTGTACGTCAGACTTAGAGGAAGGACAGGTCCAGCTTGGAGATGTGCCAGAGCCAGGATATTCTCATTATGTCTTGGATGATATTCACTTGTGATATGGATATTTTGTTCTGAGTTTGTCTATTATATTCTTGCTAACTGTGATCGAGGACCTGTGCTTTTGTATTTATTTCTTGACGCTTAGCGTATTAGGTTGAGGAGGAATGTTTATTCTTATTTATTCTCCTCAATCTAATACATCGCAGGCTTGTTCATATTCTGATTCCTTGTATTTTGTAAAGAGGGGTGTGACAGGTTTTAGTGGTGGCCCATGCAGGTCATGTCCCGAGTTCCTACCAGTGAGAATATAATGGACAACTTAGATGCATATCATATTTCATCTGTGAGACTATTCTTGAGCCCTTATCCTATTTCTTGACAGATTTCGTTTTGTCCCTATCTTATCACTCTTTGGCTCCAGAGTTTTTCACAGTTCTTGTCCTATCGCTTCGCGATTACCCTCTCTTTGTAACTTATCTTTCCCCGTACGAATCGTTATTTTATATGTTATTATTTTTACACTATGTTTTCTTTGATTTAACTTATATATCGTTTGATTGTATTAATTTCTGTATTATTTATTACATTATTTTATGTACCACACATAGTGTTATATTGTATATTTTTCACAAAAAAATATATATCATTACTTATATATTTTCAATTGTTCAAATCATATCATTAAGTATTTTGCATTGCTCTAGACTCCACATATACATTACATAGCATATCTAATATTCAGATTATTTTCTTATATTTAAAATATATTTTTGCATATCTATATTATGTATGTGTACGTTTTCTGTCATAACATCTATTATTTACTTATGTTTTAGATTATTGTATATTGTTTGTATGTTTAGTGATATATATTAATAAGTTCATGATTTGAATATTCTATATATGCATTACATTCTTATTTTTTATTTTTAACTTACAACATTTTCAATACATAGTTATCTTATCAGTCAGTTTTTTCTTGTTAGGTTGTTTTAGTATGTTCATAATTGTTTTGTTATTTCTAAGAGTAATGTATTTATACTTTAATATTCAGACATTTATTCATATTATTAGGTTTAGAGTTGAGTTACTAATTATATAGTTATTTTGTTACATTAGTTATTATTTTTATAAATAATATAAGAGGTAATTCTAAATAGCGCGTTTGTGAGTATGTATAGTATTTACTCATGGGTTGTTTATAGTGTAATTGCATATTTGTTGTTGTTTGCTTCGTTTTCGATATGTATTGTTTTGCTATTATGACAATATACATTGCATATGTGTGTTATTTTATAGTATTTATTTTATAGTATTTGTAGACATTTTTGTCTTTTATTGTGTCATTATTTGTTGTTCATTCTCTATTCATTATTTTTGTTATTTGTGTTGTGTTTTAATTTTTATTATTTTATAATTACTATTCTCTTTTCATTATAGTGTATTCACATAGATTATTATATTTATGATATTTATTTTTTATTAATTTATAGTCATTCATCATTTTTAGTATTAACTGTGTTTAATCGTGTTCTATTTTATATATTATCGGTGTTTATATTCACATGTTCATTAATCAATCATTGTATGTTTATCTACAATATATTAGTGTTTTTATTATACGAATTCATGCTCTTTTTATATTTTCATTTG